ACCTTCACTGCGTACCCCTACCATCACTCCCCTCTGATGGCTGGAGGGAGACAACGAGGCTATGTTCACAGGGGTCGCCTGTATAGAAAGACTTCTTGACACATTTCGTGTACAGCACAGGGGTTTAGAATTGGGGTTCAAACTTCAAATTCATAATCAATGGTCGGGCGTTGGAGTTTGTCATTAAGGGTTTAGGGTTTAGGGTTTGGGTCGAGGGGTTGCTCAATGCACAGTCGAGTGTTGCTTTTTTTTTTTCCGGATCCCGATTTAGAGTTTAGGGTTTAGGGTTCAATAATGGTTATGTGGTCCCACAGTTCATAGCGTTGGGGTCAGATTGCAGAGAGCATGGGGTTTAGGGTTTAAGGTGCAGGATGCAAGTGGTTGTGGTTATCAGGGGTTTTAAAGGGATAGGTCCGATAGGATGATGGCACGGACCGAAACCATTAATAACGATATTTTTCGTAGGGTTTAGGGCAACTTTGGGAAGGGTTTAGGGCAACTTACTGTTAGAGCCCTGTGTTTCTTTTCGGAGGTTGTCGTATTCGTATGTCAAGTGAATGATATCGGTTTTTCACGCCGGGGTTGGTGTTGCTGTGTGGGGTCCATAAGTTTCTCCTAAACGTAACCATCAGTACGAGCCCCTTCCACCGGATAACACGCAGCCCCGTCGAAGAGGGGTGGGTGCACTTTCCATTTCGCGGCTTGGAGAGCGGTTCGACAAGTATTCCTTCGGATGCAGAAGAAGAGACGGCTCCCACAAAATAGGGTCTTGCATGTGCGCGTTTCGAAGCGTTCACGAGCGATCGATCGAAAGCGCACGAATCGACTTGAGGGTGAGCGGCCTGGCCCTTGAGCCACAACCCCAACTGCAAATTTCATGGCACGAGTCAAGGGCTATGAAAAATTGAGTCAGAAACTTGGTGTCAGCAGTACATGGCAGGACATGAATCCGGCAATGGGAAAGACATCAAGCCTCTCACAATTTCAGATATTTGCAGGATCTTCCTTGCATTCATATGCATTCACACAAGGCCCAGCCACAGCTGCTCTTCCGCATGATATCTCCATGTGAACGAGTCCGTGGAAGATCCACGTGGCAACGTAGCAAGACGAACTCAGAGACGAACATGTCGGGCAGAGCACGATAAGACCACCAACCAACCACTGTGCGAGCAACACGTGAAGTCCTCTGCTTCTTTGGCGCTATATCAACAACAAGCACGTCCAGGTGAGCCGCCGCCGCCAGATGGTGTGCCACACGAAAGAGAACGCTGGAGGGTTAGGGTAGCACAATAATTATTCTGTAGATCAACAAGAAAATCCCAAATTGGCAGGCATATTGACTATATATATTTTGGCCTTCGCTCTCTGCGTCCCTTAAACCACCAGAGTCCAACGGCCACTGCACTTGATTGCTCTTGTCGACAAGTACCGGGCCAGAAATCTACAGTGCCCAGGCCCCATAGAGGTTCGGTAGGGAGGGGTACCACTATAATTATTCCCCACAGTGGCACTGTACACTTTAGCCTGGGGGAAATGCAACTTGTGGTTTGTCAAAAGATAGGTTCGGATGGAGTGGTGGTGGTTTAAAGCTGCCCTGTCCCCTCCCTTCCTCCCTTCCTCCCTTCCTCCCTTCCTCCCTTGCTCCCTCCCTCCTTCCCTCACTGCCCCTCGACCTTGATTTACCCCTGTACTCCCTCAGTCCGCTTGCCTACCCCCCTTCCTTCCTTCGTCACTCCCTGGCCGCCGCCCTTGATTTCCCCGTCCTCACGCCCTCCATTGCCTACCTCCCTAGCTCCCTTTCTCACTCCCTACCCCTCACTCTCAATTTTCCCACATCCTCCGCCCTATTCCAACCCCCCCCTCCACCTCCCTCTCTATGTCAGCTTAAGCTGCTCTGGCCTCTTGTCAGTTGCGGCTTGATATTTTCGCTTCTTCTTCACAAAGTAGGTACCCCTCTCCCTCCATG